GAACCTAGAGTCGCAGAATCACAGGTTCATAAAAGTAACTAGGTTGGACAAGACCTTCAAGATCATCGAGTCCAACCATTGCCCAGGGCTGCCCAGACCTGAACCATACCACTGAGAGCGCCATGTACACGGTTTTTGAACACTTCCGGGCACGGTGATTCCACCCCTTCCCTGGGCAGCCTGTTCCACCGCCTGAGCACCGGCCGGGGCACGGGAAAGCGGCCCAGCCCCGTAGGAGCAGAGGCCTGGGGTCACCGCAGAATCCAGGGCACTGCATCCCTGAGCATCCCGCAGGGCCCCTGTGCTGAAGGCCTACCCTGTGCGCAAGTAGGACTCTGGAAAGGAACAAGCCCTACTTAGAGGTCTATTTTTTTTCCTAAGATCCCATTTTCCTAAATCCCGGTTCAGTTTAAAAATAACTCTTTGAAGGATTTGACCACTGCTGCTTTTGAACACTGGCTTGGGCAGGCTTTCTGCTCCGGTGTGTGTTGCAGGGACTTGCACAGGAGCATCAGTGGCAGAAGCAGGTACCTCTGATGAAATCATGGTTTTGTGACAAAAGTGCTACAAGACCAAAGCAAAGCACACCTTGAGTTTTATATTCCTATACTTCCTCACAGGTACGGCAGACTTCAGGTTTAGATTTTATCTAAGGAGAAATTTGCACCCTGCAGCTGCATCTGGATCATGGCATTTAGTGTTTTGAAACTTCTTGGGTTTTGGAGCTCCTCAATCTTAAAGCAACTCTCTGCAAATTTTTTACTGCAATGAACAGACTGTGCTCAGCTTCCTATCAAAAGGCACATCTCTACCGATTTCATATGTTAGCCAGCTTATGTTCAAAATCTTATAAATGAAGGAATATTAGCAAAAAATCCTAATAACCCATTCAGTGTTACACACCTGAATACTCACATACAACATTCTGTCACTATGGCTAGAATTTGAAATGCATATGACTGTAATAAAGCATTATTTTGCAGGTCTGCAGTAGCATGGCAGGCAATGTGGGAGAAGGTAATTTTGCTTAAAGAGCACTAGTTTAAATGAAAAATGTATTAGACAAAATCTCAAACACAGTCTTCTGGGTGCTTCAAAGAGTTGAGTCAGTGCAATCTAGCAGAGCTGTGTCAGTTGACCTTGGTTGAAGGTCTGGCCAAATAGGTTAATTCTTTCACTCATTAGGACACAAAGAGAACATAATATTGAGAGTTGAATTCATGCGATGGTTATATCACTGAGGATACAGTAAGAAAAGCAAAAAAACCCTGAAGATAAAAAAGGTGTTTAAGTAGGAAAAACTGAAAGTAGAAGGTGGAAGGAAGAGGAGAAAGCAAGCCTTCATAGAATATTGCTCTATTCTTAAAAACAATAAATAGCACTCAGTACAGCAAGAAAATATTGTCAGACTGGAGCATCTCAAATGTCTGTGCAACATGAAAAGTCTCCTACAGAATTCAGGCAGAATGAACCTGATGAGTCAAGATCATTTTAATTCGTAGCTATTTAAATATATTTATTCAACCTTTTCTCTAAAAATAAACCCAAGGTTCTTTCAATGAATTTAGTGTCTACAGAAGTAAACTTCAAAGCCAGTGTGGGGTTTGCAGTGCAACTTTCTGGATCTCTCATATTTACTCTGACAGTAAAATTTGATGTCATAAAAATGAAGCTATTATTACCCCTTGAAACGTGCTTATGCTATGGATTTTTGGGGAAAAAAAAGAAAACAAAAAAATAAAGTCAGCAGCAAAAGTCTGGTTTCTGACTGAAGTTTTCTTGTTGTGGGGGAGGGTGATCGGTAGAAATCTTGACCCTGGTCCTGCAATTGGATCCATCAAGCCTGACCTCCGTGCTCCTGCAGTCCTTGCTGGAGTCAGCAGAACTATGTGCTAAGTGCGGGGATGTGTCCATGTGGAACTAACTGGGGATTTGGGACCTTCCAGTTTCCTGCTGTGGAGGAAGGATGAGTTCACCTTCGTGTAAATACTGGAAGCAGAGCAAGAGATTTCCACAAGAGAAACTTGAAAATATTTTTAGATCTTCTCTTCTCTCAGTCCTGTAGAGATCATGCTGAACACAGACTGCCTGCCTTTCTCCAACTACACACACTACCGCTAACAGCAGGCCATCACTGCTGAAAATCAATGTGCCTGTATTTCCCTAGAGAGAAAAACCTCACACATAATTTGTGGTCACTCTGCAGTGGTTGCTGCTGCAGTTACTAATCCAGCTCTGAGCTGGTTAAATGTTGTGTCCCAAATATGTCCTCTGTCAATGTCATATCCATCACTGTGAAGTACAGTGGTTGTCATGTACCCCTCCAAAAGTGCTTTATTTCTTGGCAGCCTCTAAATATACAGAACAGGGAGGTCCGTGTGCACCTGAAGCTCCATGCGACTGGACAATGTTACGAATACACCTCTCCATCCAGAGCTACATCTTCTGATTACTAGTGAGCCTGCATGGACACTCAGTGGCTTACAGCTGCCCTGTACCATATAACCTCCCTGTGATCAACACCAGGATCCTCCAGCCCTCAGGAATGAGATCAATCCCAGATCAATGACAAATGGCAGGAGCTGTGACAGCTATGTTGGCAAGTAGGAGAAAGTTCGTGCATTTGACAATGGACACCTGCTTTTAGCCATGCTGTTCCATGGCAGGAGACTAACCAGCAGGCACACCAGCAGCACACCACTCCGTTACTTTGAATGGTGAACATTGCCCTCTAGATCATTTTGCATGTTGCCTCCTCCAGCAGAGGAGGGAGATAGGCAAAACTGATGGGATCCTGCATGGAGAGATACTGTCACAGCTGTGTCAGGGCACTTCTAGGCCTGCTCAAGAGCAGAACTTGAAGCATATGTCGAAATGCAAAATAAAAATGAAAGGACTCACAGCATTCTCGTTACTCCTGGTGGGAGTCAGTCCTTTGCATCCCATCAGGTGGGGAAGGGCACTGAGGTCACTATTTGTATTTTTTCTGTTCTGGTACACGTAGAGTGCTCAAAAAATGCCTATAGGACTGGGTTGTACAGGTGAAACAAGCAGAGGAATTCTAATCTGTAGAATGGACTTATTAATGAGTGAGCTAGTCTAAGGAATCAGACAGAATTAAAACTTCATAGGCAATTTCATGGATCAGATGTTTGAGCACTTTTGAAGTTTCCCAAGCAATCAAGAGGGAAAATGTACCAAGAATAAATCAAGTGTTTTCTAATGATGACGAATGTCCCGGAGCAGTCATGACTTTCCACAAACATCTTGTGCATTCACAGTTTGCACTGGTCAGCAAGTCTGAAAACCAGGCTTCTTGCTGGGGAACCCTCATATGGATTTAGATCCTTGAGCTTAATAGCTTTGCTATTAATAATTTTGCTATTAAATAATTAATAGCTCTGCTATTAAATTGCACAGCAAAGGGCTAATGAATTCTGAGAAAAAAAAGGAATTGGTTAAATACCCTCAGTGATACTGAACTGTGCATCAGTAACAAGATTTTGCTCATACTTGCTTATCATGCAAGTGTTTACAGAAAGAAATCGTGGGGATTAAAAAGCTGCTGTGTCTTAGAATTGTTGTCTGTTGTCCACGGTCATTTCATGAAGAGAATGGGTATATTTCCTCATAACGTGGAGGTGACAAGTCATCACAGGCGTAGTCTTCCAGCGGTTCTTCTGGCTCATCGGAACGGTTCTCTGACCTGAAAATGGGAAGACAAGCAAGTGCAAAAAAGAATTTAGTAAACACGTAGCATGAAAGCGACCTCAGTGCTGCAGTCTGCCAGCCATATCTGTGCAAAGCAACTCCTGACTTCTTGAGAAAATGCTGGGAGATGAAGTTTTACTGGGTTTGAACTCTTTGCTGTGTTCTTTTTGTGTCAGGTGACCTTCGTTTTCATGCTGCTTATGCCTGTCACACATACTGCTGAGAACAATAGGTCAGTCAGCAATTTTTCAAACAGACTTTGATAAATGGACTAAAAGTGACTTGTGTTCTAGGAAGGATATAATTCTGAGTAATTCCCATAATTCCTTAGAGAAACGAACTATGTGAAATTGCTTTGTGTCTGATCAAACTAGTTTCGTATTGCTCTGTAATATCATTGGTCTTGTATATGCCCCAGAACTAGGAAAAAGGTAGGGGCTGGAGTGTCGCTACAGTGGGAAAGGAGCGTGTTGTGACCAGAGGTAATAGGAATGAGAACATCTGGTACCAGTATGATTCTTGCACTGTTGTACAAATTGTTGTGCGATTGTGTTTGAGTGGAAGCCTCTGGCTGTAGATTAAATAACCTTCTGGTCAACAATCTGAAGTTAGTGAGATAAGCATAAACCCCACCTCCCCCAAGAACAAGAGCATATATACTAAATACCTTCAAAAATAACAACAGATTTAGTAGACTGAAAACTGAAAGGGATTTATAAGTGAATTTAATTTGGATAATCATGGTTTCTAGAAAAAGTATGTCTCCATAGTCTTTACCCAAGAAATACTTTTAGTAAAGAAAAAAACCCAACAGTCTGAAGAAGGGTAACACCCAGGGCTACTGTTTTCTTCCTTTGAAACCATACCTAGCACTTGAAGTAGCCCGAAGCCTGTGTCTAAACACACTAAGGCATTTCAGAAGAAGTACCTCTGATCGCTGGTATTCTCCGGAGGGTAAGCAGCATAGTTCTCATCTCCAGTAAAAGCCAGGTTATCCAGGGGGTAGGCAGCGCAGAAGTGAGCAGAGCCCGGGCTGGGAATTGATGAGGCACTGGGGGAAACAGCACCACAGCAGCTGAGCACCGGGTGAAGGTAGCCAGGGCTTACAGCAATGCCCTCCTGGGCTGGGTACGGCGGAGGGATGTACTGTACCACTGTGGCACCATGAAAAGTTATAGGCTGGTTAATGCCAGTGAAGACAAAGGATTGTCCGCTTGCTGTCTGGTCGAGATCTAACGTATTTTCCTCTCTTTCTTTGCAGGTCTTACACGTAAGCATGTTAAATTTACAAACAGCAATCAGAATAAAAGTTACCCCAACAGACAGCAGAATAGGCCCTAGTAATTGAGTCCACTCCAGGTGAGTAATGCCGTCGTATTTTATCCATCCCATCACAGTGAAAGTGATCCCCACCAGTCCCAAAAACACACCTGAAAAGAGCAAAGTGGCACCAGTTTTATCCCCATCTGACACCAGGGCATCAGATCTGTTTGACTGAGAAGGAGTGACAGAAAAGACATTCAAGGAGAAATCTTCTACGCTGTTGCTGTTTGGCTCCATTTCTGAGTATAGCGTATCTTCTGCCTCAAGGGAAAGGGGGCTTGTAGGAGCCTTAGCAGAGCTTTTAAAGTTGAAGGTTCAGGTTAGTTATACAAGAACTTTGTGCGTGTATGGTTAACAGAGTCCATCATGTGAAAGAATAAACTTTGCTTAGAAGAATAAAGGTCTGTGAAGTGAAGCCTGAAGCGGTCACTAAAGACTTCTTGAATTACCACCATCACTTCCGAAATGGCTTCACCCTTGCATGGTTGTTTATCTCTTTGTTTATCCTTTTCTTTAATTTGGCACCTGCTGATACTTCCTCGCTCTGCCCATATCAGGTGGGAAAGAAAGGAAGCTGCAGCCACTGCAACTTTTCCTAGGCCCCCTGACAGGTGATGCATCCAAGTTGGACATATGCTGTCCATATGTTTAACCAACAGCAGTGTGGCAACTCTTGTTCTCCTTGGGCCACCACTTCTAGCTCCATTTTCTGCAGGAATACGCATGGCCGTTGGTGGCAGTGCTTTGCAGTGCTCTGAAGCATGACATTTACAGCCTCACCTGCACCTCCGTCGCAGCTTGGGCTGCAGTCCAGACTCCCCGTGGTTTAAAAAGTACCAAAGTAGGCTTTCTGACAGTTTGCCAAGCAGGAGTGGTGGGAGGGTAAGCAGCAACAGGGTGCTGAGTGCTGAACAGCCTTGGGAGAGTTGCTGTTGGGGAGAAAAGTTATTTCAAGCCAGCCAAAGCTTTCTAGCTGTTTGAAGGTAGCATTAATTGCTCTGTAATTTCCCCTTAATTATGGACATTTTTTGTGTGGGATCTCCACCCCTTTCGCAAAGTTTACACTGAATAGAGCCCACATACTCTGAAGAGTGCACCGCTGCAGGAATGAGAAAGCATCTCCTGTAATGTTTAACTTGGTAAAGTAAGGGACCTTATCCTGTACCTAGAAGTACCTAGAACATTTTTTTTTACATCACAATGAATTGTTCTGTTGGACATATGTCCCATATATTAGACAGACTGCTTAACTGAATGTTGAGATTTTCTGTTTCCTAACAGTTTCAGACTAAAGTATTTGCTTTAGGAGGGTTCTGGTAGAATATCTGTATAATTCATTAAGGAGGAAAAGTCTCCAACTACTCAATCTGTTTTGACTTGCCGGTCAGGGAAGTACACCCAGGATAGAGATTACTACTCATATGGCAGAACATAAAATGCTATTTTCTGCCACCAGCAGCTCTGGGGAAGCAAGCTTATCCTGATATTTATCAGATGAATGTAGCTCTAGAGCTAGAATCACCTTTCAGACTGCTTCTTCAAAATCAGTAAAGATGCCTTTAGTCTACTGTGCTTTCATATCAGATGTCACGACAACAGCTCACTTCTGGAAGGGCTGCTCACTGAATTTGGCACCTTCATAACTGAATGCAATTGCAAATGGGAATTTCTCATTTGTTAGCAGATAGACCTTGAGGAATATTAGTGCTGGATTCCTTTAGAAAATGTCTGGGAAGTTTCCAAAGTCAGTATTGTGTCTCTTCTATTACCAAGGGTGCCAATAAATTTCCTGACAAATACACTCAAGACCAGCCTTTCGCACAGCATCAGGTCTAGTCAGGAATCTGTACCACTTGAGCAAAGATTTAGGGCTTGCAATGCAGTGGTTTTGTATGATGACAACTAAATCAGAAAGTGCTGAAATACTAGCTAAGCTGTCCTTGTATTGGTAATTATAGCCAAAACTTTGTATTTGGTTAACGTAATGAAATAAACTTCTGTTACTGCTCCCTGCAAGTCAGGTTTTTCCATACCATGAATCATTCTTGTCACTGCTTGCTGAATCTTCCAGGCTTTCCAAAAGCATTCCATCCTTTTAAAAGCAGCATTATATCATAATAGCTGTCTAAGTAATGATGTAGTGTCACCTCCCTCCTCTCTCTTATTCAGCTGCTGTTGGCAACAGGATTGTGCTGGAGCACTTCCTCAGTCCTACGCAATAGTCCTTAGATGCTGGATGGAGTCAGAGTTTTCCAAGGTGGATGTTGCATCATCCCGTGGTTGATGCTCTTTGCCCCTGGCCTAGGACACAAGTTCATGGTTGTTGAGCAAGTGAACAGTAGAGCTGGGGAACACAGGTGGTGTCTTCCAAGACTGTTTGTCACTTGAACTTTGAAAATGGGATAGAAAACACTTTCTATTTGGTGCAGTAGGATCTAAGTCAAAAGGACACCTTTCACCTCTCTGTAAGATAGAGTTTCCTCTAAGCCTCCCCAGATTTCTCCCATTATTTGCCCAGGCAGTGGCAATGCTGCATTCAGACTGACGGCAAGGTTTTAAGAGGCTAGCAGATCACATTGATTTTTTAAGGCCGGTACTTTCCTTTGCCAAGTATCTGTATATTCTGGGGATTCATTTAAAGATGCTGATTTACTAAATGCATCCCTTGTTACCTGAAATAACTCATAAACAAATGTTTTGTGAAACCTAACAAATTGGTCAGACTGAGATTTTCAGAATGGGTAGTATTTTCAGATCTCACTACTATTTTATTCCCAGCTGCTTCAGGGACCTTAACCCTGAACACAAGCACTGCCTTGCTTTCTGTTCCTGTACGTAATTTTCTATCACAAACCCAGAGTCCCCCTGCAGTGCTTGCTGCTGGAAGTAGGTTTTCTGTAATGGTCTGCACCTCCTAAGTTCTCTAACTTGTTTCAAGAGTCATCCTAGTAAACCCTGGCAGGCATTCACTTAATCCTTTTCTCCTTCTGCTATTTATTTTTACATAGCTGTTCACATTAATCAGCCCATTTTAGTGAGGTTTTATTTTCTTGTGTGCCTGTAATATAGTCAGGGACTTGGTCATAAAACATGCAAAAGACATCATATAAAGGAAAATTATACCATGATATTGCACACTGATTGGCTTTAAACAGAGTACAATCATCAGTCCATAGTGGAACATTGATTTGTAGGGAGATAAAGAAGCCAGTGATTTTTCTAAGAGAGACTTCTTCCTAGGGATAGAAGCATTTTTAGTGAAACAACACAAATTATGTGTGTAAGAGCAGTACCTGAAGAATCACCATGAGTGGGCCTTGCACACTGGGTCCCTGTACTACTGCACTGCCAGCCTTAAAGCGTAAATAAGCTGTGAGGAGCAGGTTCAGCCAGCTGCCCACAACCACATCTACCTGCAAGGTGGTTTTATGTGTCCCAGGGAGCATTACCTTATCAACAGGCACACTAAATTGAAGGTATTTTCATGCCTAATTGTCCAGATACATGCATGTGTGATAGAGAAAAGAGCACAGCTCTAAATGAAGGCTGACACATTTGTTGCAGAAACATGGAGGTATTGACAAAAATGTCTGCCTAGGCACAGAAAAGCCCTGGGAGACATTATTCTGAAGAGGCAGGATGGAAAAGGGATGGATGGATACAGCACTACCAACCACAAAGGGCAAGGATGGGGAGGGTGCAATCCAGTGACTGTTGCTATCCTAAAAACATAGCATCATTGCAGACATCTACAATATCTCAGTTTTTCAGATGAATTAGCTTTCCTTTTCTTAGCTGCTGCTGAGGCAGAAAGATTTCCTATAGAGAAGAGGCATCCATTTATATTTTCATGAATCGTTCTCATATCCAAAGGATTGTACTGTTGCAGTTAGAAGCAGAACAATGTCAGTGCAGGCAGCAAGGAAGAGAGACCTTAACTTCACTTACAGAGGGTAAGCAATCCTTACCTCCCACTTTGCCTGTTTAAGTAAGGGTGAATCAGTAACCAACTTGATTTGCTCCCTAGCATTTCTATGTCAAGCACTTAAGCTAACCTTAAGGCAGAAAGGAGGTTATAGCACCATTAGTGTGACAGTAAAATATCTTACTTCCTCAATAAAAATGCTATTTTGTATTATTTTAAGCTACTTTTATAGTTTTACAAGGTGTTGCTTCCTTTCTAATACAGGCATTTCACCCCTACTCCCCACATCAAAAATTCTTATCACTAATGCTGTTCACCCAGTGGTAGCCTTCAGTGGTGGAGGCAGATCTGCTAGCCTCTTACCCATGTTTTCTGACCTTGCTGAGACAGATTTCAACAACGAAGTAAGCAAATACTGTTGCCCTGGCTAAGTTAGCTCTCACAGTCCTGAGCAGTTTATGGACATGCAGCCAGCACATCCACTGAGTTTTCAAGGAGTGATTCTCCAAGTCAAAAATAATACAGCTAATAATAATAATAAGCTAATATGGCTGTACATTGAACTATTTCCTAAGCACCTTCTCAAAACAATACAGAGAAACACTTGTCTTCAGTCCTCATTTTCAGAGGTAAGTAACACCTACCCTTCCAGGGAGGTTCAGCTGCTGACTCCAAAGAGTCAGGTCAGCAGCTTTCTAAAGCATGCTTTCCTTGAAGACTGCTTTTTTAGAAATAAAGTGATCCACGCTGGAGACTCTGCAGTACAAGATCAAAACACAATAACCTTGGATTACAGAAGGCATTCAAGGAACAGCATCCTTGAAAAACTCACTAGGTAAGGAACACTTCAGAGAAAGAGGACAAAACCTGCTGGCTTTTGTGGATCCCTTTTCTTCATCTAGACATTTCCAATGGCTGAGTCATGCCAGTTTAATCAGCTCCCACATACTAAATCCCTCTCTGTGCTGCGTTTGCTCATTACTTTGAATGCATAAGCCCCTCAGCTCTATTGCTGGCTAAATATACCTCCCTCACTGGCTGGTTTGTTTTGTGTGGCTGCACAAAGGGCTGCTCTAGAACAACTGAGGGAACAACAAAGAAGTAGAAATAAATGGCCACATCCAGGAGCTCCTGAACATCTCTCTAAAGAACCCTGCAGGTGAGAGTCATGTTCATAATAAGATGACAGGAAGCAATCACCTTTCCCCGGGCACAGGAGGGAACTTAAGTAGTTAAAGCTTGCACTCTTTTACAGCCATGTTCCCCAAAATTCAGCAAGGCAGAAGACAAGTTGAGGTGTAGCTGAGGTCCCAGAGCATGCAGGTGTTGAGTGTCAGCGGAACAAGACAGAGATCATTCTTGCAAGGTATTTTAATGCTGGTTAGGTTTACAATGCTGAACCAAGCTAAAACAGTAGGTCTGCCACCTTCTGCTTCTGGGCACAGAATGAGGTCTGTTTTTCTCAAATGGGTTCACAGCAAGTTGTGAAGTGTTAGCAACAACTCCCTTCCTGATAATTATCCATACCTACTACAAGCAAATCCCTCAGTTCAGGAATAGGTGCAAACAGTGGCTTAATGGAACTAGAACCTGTTGTCACTCCACCCTGAAGGCAGCTACTGCTTAGGGGCTGCACAGGAACAGAAGAGAAGGCTGTTTTCTGGAGGGCCTGTCAAGTGCTATGTCAGTTAAACACATCCACAGCATGCTTTTCCATGAAACTGCCTCTCTTGCATTTGCTGGTAAGTAACGTCTGCACCTGGAAGATACCATGCTGAGTGGTGCTCACTCTCACAAAATAAGCACTCCTTGCATAAGCCATGAATGATGATATATGTAACAGCTGTATAAACCCCCTGAAATCAGTCATTATCACAGTTAAACTGTTAGCCTATTAACGATCCTCAATATTGCTTTAGGGCTCTTAACTGCTGGTTAAAACTGATTTTCCTATGGATTATACTTATGTAAGGGCCAGAGAGGGTCTAAATTAAGATATGGAGTGTTTGTTATCAGGCAGACCAAAAACTAACCATTTAAGTTCTCCATAACATAGTTGGTCCCAATCTGTTCTCAGAGCATGTATGAAGTCAGTAACTTTGCAAACCAGTATTTTCCATGAAAGTCATACAAAAATAGAAATAAACACACTTCCTAATTATTTCTTTTTGAAGCTCCAAACAGATTTAATTAAAATAAGAAAAAAAGTTGGTCTCTACTTAATGCCTCCATTATATAATAACAACTAAAAACAGAAAATGAAGCTGTAACAGAACATGAGCATTTAACATTCTTACAGTGAACTGAATCCCTTCAGACTACTTGCTCAAGAAGCCCAGGATTATCTAATATTCCTTGAAACCCAAATTCATTGTTTTTTGATGAAAAACTAGACACAGCTGACATTATTGGTTTTATTATAAAATGTAAATAAATTCAAAAATTGTAAATCTGAGTATACAACTTAATTTAAAAATTAAGTCTAACTGACGGTCCTCTATGAGCTGGTGTCAGATGTGGCTAAGGAAATAGATGAAGAAGATGGAGAATATTCATTGTTTGTTATTGATGCTTTTTCTTCGTATTTTGGAGGCGATTCAGAGGAGAGGTATAGCACTGGTAAAATATCTGAAGGTGAGCTGCTTCCAGAAATTGTATATATGGTTTCATAGTCTCTAACAGCAACTGTTCTTTCATCATCTGCAAGCTGTGCTCTACGAAAACACAAAACAGCATATTAGCATAATTCATTTCTCTACAGTGAGTGAAATTCCACTTGACTTACATAAACATACATGTATGCACACACTCCCTAAAAATCCCTGGAGCAAAGAACTTGTGTAAGCATTAGGATTTCATTCTCTAGGCTACATCATGATTCATATGAAAATCCTATTACTTCAGAAAGGAAGGGCAAACAGGCTCCTGTCTAGCTTTTCACATCACCAGTCACAGCCTGGCTTATGGGTATTAGCTGCTTCTAGCAGGGCTATCTCACAATCTTTCTAAATCTTCTTCTAATCCCTAGCTCCTAATGTATCTTCCTTTTTGTAGTCTATCATGTATACGCTGTCCCCTTCCCTTATGAAATTAGAATTAGAAACTTAGAATTGCATTGCAAAAATCACAATGCTTAGCCATTTGAGATCTCACATGAAAGGCAACTTGAAACTTTTATAAAGCTTTCCAGCAACCCATGACCGATATAAGGAGTAGCAATCCTGCTCAGAGCTGAAGAAACAGAAGTAATTGGACACAACCAGACTGACAAGTTCTGAGTGACAGTCAAGGAGAGCAGCCAAATATTCACTACCCTCCTCTGACCATCGTAACTGGATCCCCATCAGTTGTAACCACATGGCTCTGGTACCCTGCTCATCTCACCCTGGAGCTGGCTGGCCCTCAACATGTTACTTCATCTGCTTCCCAAGGGAAGGGAAGGGAAGGGAAGGGAAGGGAAGAACTCCTTATTCCTCATGACTCACTCCAGGAACTGACACTTGCCCTTGAGCATACATCTGGTCACCCACCAACACTGTGAGGAGCAGGAATAAAGAACATCTTATCTTCAGTGGTGCTACTGGTATGTGAGGGTGTGTGCTTAAAGGAGAGAGAACATGCTACAAGATGAATGCTGAAGTGCTATATAACCGACTGCAGTACAAAACCAACCATGTCTGGGATCAGATCATGACTCAGCTTCCTACAAGCTCTCTCATCGAGCACAGCCTCTGCCACAGCACTTGCTGACAGAACATGGAGCAACTGACTGAAAAAGGAAATCATATTTGCCTAGTAACCACCCACATATGAAATGCGTATTCCCTTCCAGCTTTGGGATCTTCAACCACGGCACTATGTTAGAAGGAACAAGGCCACTGACCACTGACTCTCTTCCATAAAAAGGCTTGGGAACCAATTTGCAGTAGTCAAGATGCTGTGGCCATGACCAAGTGCTGAGCCATGGGAGAGCATGGTCAAGTGAAATGCCCAGAGATGGTATCAACTCACAGCGTCTCTGTGAAGACACTGGGCAGCACAGAAGTGAAACAGTTAGATCACCCCCAGCCACAGAACACTGAAGCAAGAGGTCAATGTTTCAGCATCCAAGGTTGAGGTCTTTTGTCCACTCCACTAGAAACAAGCTAGGCTACAAACTGCCTCTTTGTGTACCTGTGTTCACAAGACAGAGAAGACCAGACAAGTAATCACAAGGACTCAGTTGATGGGATCACATACAAAGTTCAGAGCACAAGAACTGGACATTCATGAATTGAGGTAGCTGATCCAGCTGCAGGGGATTTTGTAAGAGAACAGATGAAAGAAAGAGGGGTCACCTGTATGTGCACCAGCACAGACAGCCCACAAGAAGTGTGAGGAACTACTGGTTTTGACATGACCCCACCACCCTTTGTTTTACCTTTTTCAGTGCAGGATGTGCTGCTTGCATTCTTTCACAGCCCGAAACTTCACAGGGCCTGAAATTATAGAGAGCACCTGTGTCCCTCAGTTGAGTGCACTGTACTTACACAGACAGGTGGTACAAGAGTCACTCTCTCTCCCAGATGCTTGCAAGGCTAAAGCAGAACATGCATGTTCCTGTACTCCTCCCAGTTATCCACTCCAGCCTGGTCTTCTCAATGTATTTAAACAATGTTTTTTGAGAATGCCCTTGGACCATATTTGAATTGGCTGCCTCAGAGCTATTGGAGGTCCAGGTTCACACTCAGGGCAAATAATTTCTCCACATACATCCATTTGCTTTGTGTGTACATCTGGGATGTACATGCCAGAAGGGAGTGACAGCACATGCTAGAGCTCTAGCACAGACACGCTCAGTGTGATGCCTAACTCTAGAACTAGCAGCAGCTACCATGAAACACCTTTCAGCTGTGGACACCTTAACCCAGCCCAGTAAGAACACAGATAGATCATGTAAATTCCTTCTTTCAGCAGCAGCAGTTTATTTTCTCTCCTGCTTGCTCTGGGCATCCTTTAGTTGCAGTAGTATAGCTCTGAGAGCTGATACATTTCACTTGCAATCTGAGAGCAAGGAAAAGACTTTTATACTTAACAAAATAAAATGTTTCTTCGCACAACAATTTATCCCTGGCCATGAGAGCCACTGCCCTCTGTAAAGCACTTTCACTTGATCAACACAACATCTTCTCTTACCTCCATCTGCCCTTGCCATCCTGAACTGGCAGGTGTTTAGGGTATTGAGTAATCAACAGATTCTCATCAGTTTTGCACGAAAAGTACTTTATCTGAAACACCTTAAGTGGAAAACCCACAGACCATGAATTGTGTGCACAGGTAGCATTTATTAGGCTTTGTTATCCCTCAGCGCAAGTCATCAACCTCAAGCTGGGCCTCAGTCAGCGGAAGCCAAACACGGAGGGTCTCCCTTCCTGAGGTGGTATGTGAATGACTATTTTATTTTGTTGGGGGGCTAGTCCCACTGTGCACTAGAGAGAGTGCTGCACTAGTAGTCAAGAAAAGTGAGTTGGATTTTGATATACGTATTTATGCTATGTTAAAAAAAGACCCAACACGGTGACTTTGAGAGAAGGTGGAAAGAGAGTCTGGCTTGTAGTACCAGCAACAGAAGGAGGCATCTGCTGTCTCCAGCAAAGATGGAGAGAAAATGTTTGGAGGAGGGCACTAGGAAGCTGAAGACAGTATGAGGAGCTATTGACAATGATTAACTAGACAACAGTGCCTTGCACAGTGGGGCTGAGCCTCAAGAATTCACCAGGTACAAAGGATGACTGAAAAACCACAGACATGGCTGCACACAGTGTGGTAACAAGAATAAGCACCATTGCTAGCACAAGTATCCTCCTCCTTTGGCATTTAGGACTTTGGCCAGGAAGAAGGTTCATGCTTGCTCACTTCAAAAGGAAGATTAGCACGACTTTTAAAGCGTGCCGACAACAGGCACGCAGCTGGGCATGGAATACACTGCCTTGTGTGAGCAGAAAACCTTGGAGTATGGTGGAAAGCTATTAAAGCAATGGACCAACAACTACTATGACTGGACACAGCCAGGCAGGCTAAAGTTTTTGCTGCAATGATGGTGCTTAGGATACTGTAGGTGCAGTCTTGTAAACCAAAGTCATCCAATGAAGAAGTCTCACACCACCTACTGACTCACAGATCAAAAAGAAGCTGACATAGGACCTTCCTAAAGGCAAAGTCAAGTCAATTCTGGATCATGAGAGGCCTGAAAATGAGTTGGGGCTCTAGGCATGTGGCATCTAGCTCTCCTGGCCAGATCTAGGTCTGGGTCCTAGTATGTGGTCCTTGCAGTGCCTCTTTCACCTTCAAGTTAGCAGCCCACTGGTGGTAACCCACAGGGGATAAATAACCCTAGAAGTTTTTCCAGTGTAGACAACTCTTCAGTCACTTGCCAGCTCTCCCTCCCACAACTTGGTAGTGGCAGCATCTAGCAAATCAGCTGTTCTCATCCTATGGAAGACTGGCTGCATGGGTAAGGTGCAACACCTTGAGATGAAGTTGGCATTGCAAGCTCCCTTTTAGAGCTCCTCCTGCTCTTCTCCTGCCATATTAAGGTATCCTTTTATCTTGACACACTGCCACAGCTGGAACAAGGCAGACCAGCACAGCACGTCTCACTTCCTCAAGGCAGTAAGATAATGGTCACAGAGTGAACAGAAACCACTAAAGTAGAGTGGCCAGGGTCACAGGGCCTGTGGATAGGTGTCATTAAGGGCTCACTGCATTGGTTGTGCAGAGAAAAATCTTGTAGTGTGGGTACCATGACACTGAAGCACTGCTGTCAAGGGCACATTCTCTTGGACAATCTGTGGAAGAAACCTAATCTGACTATATTTAAATAAGACCACTGATCTAAGGCTTTGTTTTCACTTCACAGAAGTTCTTTTCAGTCATAATAAATTTAACTCCCATAAAGGACACTCTGTGGTTTGTGATTGCCTTTTTATACCAGGATATTTTAATGTTATTTCAAGTAAGGTATCTGAAGCAAGTCAAATGACACACTAGAAAACTATGTAATGCCTAGCAGAGAGTTAATTCACAGTGATTAAGAATGTGGTCTTGGATACCTTGAGAAGCAGCTCAGAAGTCCAAAGACAGAGAAGAAAACAGTCTTACCCATCACTGAAGATAGAGTGGTATGGTGGAGGGTTTTCACTTGTGGGCAAACCACTTGACATAAGACAATGTGTTACAGTTGGTGATACAGGATCAGCAAAATAAGGAGGTGGTGGAGGTGGGAATATCATTACAGCATCACCTAGGGAAAAACCCCACCAATTACTACCTCTGAAAAATTGAGCACCACTGTTTATTCTAACTGTATCCTAAAACATTTCTCATTTTTGGAATTACTTTGTCTACCTTTTAAGATAAACTGCAATGATCACACATACAAAACTCATATTCTGGGCTGTTAAAGTACACTGGAGGTACACTCAAAAACCCAAATTTTCCCAAAATAAAGATGTGGCACATTCACAAATGGGTTTTCATTTAGAAAATACAGATGGGGAGGGGGAGTGTTGCATCTAGCTAAGAGACACAAACCTCTTCACTGTTGGCTGTCTTCAGAAACTGGAAGTGCAAGGCACAGTTACTGTTGACTCACTTCAAGGGTAGGCAAGTATTTAGTTTTCCTCACATATCTAAAATAATGCAGCTTAAGTTTCTCCACAGTACTGCAGAGTTATAACAAAAGTATTCAAGTCATATTAATACCACAATGCTACTGATGCACAATTCACTATCAAGTGTACTGTGCAGCATATCTGCAAATTTCAACTTCATAATCAAAGATTTTCAATTTTTTAATTTTTTCCTTAAACAGAAAGTTTGTATCTATCAGTCACTGCATCATTTATACCAACATTCACAGCTGCCTGGAACCTTTCTTCCTTGGCAATTTGTCTGCAGGGACAGGCCAGGGAGCATCAAAAATACTGAGCAGAGGTGGGGGTATTTTCTAGCTGAGTTACCATTGTTCCAGAATGCCACAATGTCAACCAGACCTCAGCCTTCAGCCTTTCAGTTTTCCTCTTTCTGATGGAAGTATAAAAGGAACCCACTAATTTTGCTTTCTTGCCTTTAAAGACAATATGAATTCCTTTACATGACCCTTTGACTTATCCTGGTGTCTGGAAAACCGATTTTACACCTTCACATTTTCTAAGGGTCACCAAGTTAGAGGTCTGTACACTGGTTTGATAGGCAGAAGGAAAAAAGTTTTGCATAATGCATTTCAAGTCCAGTCAGTCAGATGACACTCAGGCAATATTATGATTGACTAATCGTTTCTGAGAAGTAGAAAGTTATCAGAATAATCTATGTACAGAATGTATTCATGGGATGCTAAAAGCAGTGGTATATGCAAGGGAGCATTCTCTGCCAACATACCACATTTACTCAAACACTGTGCAATTACAGAAGATTTCGCAATTACATCTCTGACCGATTGAAGATGTGGCCATGATTAAAAGAAATACAACACACTTCTTACAAATCAGATTCTTCTGTTTAAGGGGTCAGAGCTTAAGGCTTAAATATAAATCTTAAATATAGTCACGAAGTCAACACACCTGTGATTTGCAGTGTCAGCTACTTCCTCTGAGAAAGGAAATGGGACTGGACTCATTTGTGTTGGATTGTGTGGCTTCTTTTGCACAGAGAGTCAGACCCTTTGTTCTCTCAAAGGTTTTGCCTTTGAGAGAAAGGTAACTCAACTGATCTTACAGAAAACATATGAGATAAAGCAACATTTTTCTGTTTTGGCTGGTTTGACATACCAGAACTGACATGCTTACCCCTAAAATAAGTAATATTCAGAGGCAAATAATTAGTGGGGAAAAAACACTTATTACTAATTCTCAAATATAAAGTTCACACATTATTTACCCACCTACTGTAACCTGAAAAGGTTCAGGCCTCTGAGGTTGTTCTTCACTTTCGCAAGATTCTTGGCTGAGATTTAAGTTTTGTTTCTTTTTAACATGAGCTATCACGAAGAAACACAACCCAGTGAGCACAATCAAAGGTCCCATGATTTGAAGTGACAGGAATCCACAGCCCTGGAGGTCCACATCAGAACTGCCGGTGTGGTTGAGCTGTATGGTGTGCCAGCTGGGGCTGCAGCCAGGAACCCAAATGCCCAAGATGCTAATTAGCATTCCACTAGTTAAAAACAGGAATCCAAATATGAGAAACTGGGCAAACTGACAGTTCCCACGACAGAAAACAAGGCTGTACACCTGTTCATTCTGCAACTGTCTTTGTCTTATATACACCCTGGCCCTTGATCGTGCCAGTAAAATACAAACCAGTCCACTTACAGCCAACACAGGCCCAGCAGCCTTAAGGACCTCGTTACAGTCACTGAATGTTCCAGATGGGCATGACTGTAGAATAAAGACTGAAAGCAGGAATCCAGCACATAGCAACACAGCTCCACAAACAAAAAGGAAAAAAATAAGTTTCCCATGTTGTCCATTATTTCCTTCACCCCCTGGTACAGGAACAGCCACTGGATACATTACAACAGAATCTCCTCAAGCAGATGGGCTGGGTTTTTTTGTTTGTTTTTCCTGTTAGCATTAAGCGGCAGAAAACTACATTAGATCTGTGAACATGAAAATACACACATCAAAATAAGAAGGAAAAAACCCAACAGTGTGACTAGCAACATTACAATACTAATTTCTGTATTTGCTACTCAGCCTATATTGTATATACTTGGTCTATTTTCTGTTTTGTAGTACCTCCATTATGCATTACAGTACCTAATTCAGTTCGCTGTCATTGAATGCTGATGAAAAGACAGAACCTGCTTTATAGGTAGACTGAAAAAAACCCTGCAATTGCTGCTGCATATCTGAATTAATTGTTTCTTTAGATATACAGTCTTATGACTAGAGGGGACATTATTTTCAAAGGCTGAATCTGGGGAACAAGGACGGGCTAGCTTTCCCCTTGAAAGCAGAAAGCTATGGGAATTTCTGTAGTGAATGGCAGAAAGTGACAGCTTTTGAGAGAAAGAAACTTAATGCATATGAATATTGATGATTACTGGACTTTAAATCTTCTAATGCATACCTTTTCAAAGCATATAAATCTTGCTTCCCCTTCCACAAGCAATAAAGGCTTTTCTGTTTCTCTCCTTAAATCAGCTTCTGGTCCTATACAGCTTCAAGAGTAAGCATACAGAAGATTTTGGTTCTGTTCTGAAAAGACATAAAAAAAGAAAAAAAAAAAGAAAGACAATTTAAAAAGGCATATGAAAGACTCTGTACTTCATGTCTCACTGATCCAATAGTTAGAGTTGTAAGAATACTGCTCCCACACTTTCTTTTAACTTCCTGTACTCCTGAATCCTTTGTCTGTGCTCCAAGAAAGGTTTAAAAAGAAGTATAATAAAGGTGGCTCCCAGAAGGCTTCTGAGCCCACATGAGTCTAGATTCAGCAGTAAACCAGAAGAAAATAGAAACTAGCGCTGAGGCTAGTCCATATGGTAGTAGAGATGACAAACCTGCTGGATGTGGAGAAACCGGGACAGGGAAAGCCTGACAAAGTTAGGGCAACATGCCATTCAGTGAGCTTTGCGGAAAACAAAACCAAAAATTGTTTCTGACATTATGCACAAGGAAGTTTGTGCTGCTCTAACACTCTGGCCTACAGGGGTCATATGGACATCTGTACTCTATAGTACAGTGACTAGCAACCATGGAGATCTCAGATCCAAGTGGCTACATCCATCAAAAGCCAACCTGAAACCCAGGGGAATTTCAGACCATGGAAAAAAAAAGTCTGGATGGACCACAAGAAAGCTGTTCCCTACCAAGTGTATGAGTTACTTATGTGTGCTCATATTGCAGCGTTTTAACACTGTCCTCCTCCCCTCATCCCCAGCCTCCCATGACAGACAACCTCATCTATTACTTGGTGGATAATATCAGGATATATCAGGAAGGATATATAGGGACTGGAGGAGTCTGTCACAGACAGAAGCGGGGAATCAACTTAGTTACTGTTGTTAGTTAGTTAACCTTCAGACTTTCCTCTACCAATTTCCACTGCCCTGACACTAATTCAGATAACCAGAAGCTAGAAGTCAAGTCAGACTGACTCCTCCCCTTACATATGCCTCGTAACAGTTATTCCATAAGAAAAACAAAGTACTACGTGATTTCTGGAAGCAAACTGTTGAACATGTGTCAGCCACAACAAGCTTCGTGTCACTCCCCAGTAACTGCAGTGCCCCACTGGGATGAAAACAAAACACAACCATAAAACCCATGTGTCACTCAAACATATAATTATCTGTTTGCAATGCAAGGCAATCTATCAGTCATTTTACTTAGCCACTTGTAAGAGTAGGACCCAATTAAAGAACTGGCTGAGCAGATACATGAATGATGAACATCAAACCAGACTGCCACAGCAGCACAGGAGAAGGCGGAGAGCAGCATGCAGGTAAAAGGCACAATGGGGGCTAGGCTCACTGGCAAGCAAACAGATTATACCAGCAGCAGCAAGGTGGCCATTGCAGGAAGAAACAAAGTCTCCCAGCTGGCTATCTTGAACAGCAAAACTGAGGGACCTCCCTTAATGCATCCCATTACTGTGGTCAATTAATTTGTAAACTGTGCCTGCTATGTGTTTGTTCTGGATTCACTCTATCCATCTACCAAGACTGGTTAAAAAAACTGCTAGCTGAGGTTCCCTTGGTAGAAGAGTCACAGTTTCAGTCTGAGAAAAAAAAAAGGTTATAAAGAATACTAAAGATAGGACAGCATGTTACCAAAAAGAAATTAAAGAAATCATGATAGATTTCATCCTGAAGACCATTAGCTAAGCACACTTTCAATACTGCACAAGCTGGAGTCAGTTTGAAGGCTTTACTTCTGAGCAGAGAAACTGGATTAGTTTGGTCACTCTTCCTTCCTTGATTTCACTGGTCTTTCTGAAGTTAATATAACTGTTTCTCATAACTGCATATAATCCTTCAAGTCTAGAAATTTCCCCATGTTTATAATTGATCTGAAGTGGCTCAGATTTACTGTTCTACCAACAACTGCACAAAACTGAACAAAGGGCCTCTAAAATAAAAAAAAAAATCCAGGCAAAGCCCCATTTCAGACTCAATTGTCTCAAGATAATTTTTCTAAGGCACATTAACCATTATAACAGCAGTAATACACTATAATTAGAGAGAACTCTGAATCCTTCCTTCGCATTTCCCTCAAGGGAAGAAAACATGGACAAGTACAAGTGAATTAGGACAAAAGGAAATAATGAAGGGAAAAAAATCCAAACATTTAGCCCCTCAAAAGAAAAATCTATAAATTTGTTCTCATTACTCCAACACAGCGCCTGCTTCTCTTCCACCAATCTTATTGTTATGAGATTAAGTTAAAACACACATTAGAAATGAAGCATGTGGGTATTTCCTTAATTCTTTCAGGCCACAAAAGAAGGAACATTCAGAACAGTCTGCTGTGGCTTTGAAGATGAAAGTCACAGATTTAATGCTGCAAATTCCAAAGGAGGACTAATTTTCATTTATGCTACCACCAAATTTCAATAAAAAACCCAAGGCAAGATTAAGCTTTATTTCTTGTGTTTCAAGGAGAAGTATTTTAAGAAAGAAGCAAGCCTTACACTGACTATGTGCTTGAAATACTTCCATTAAATCTGATATATGCATAGGCATATTGACATAAGGGAATTTTCCCTTTATATTGACCCAAAGTCTGAGAGCAGACATGGAAATACCAGGTCAGAAACTCCTAGAACAAGATCTGTTAGTGTGGATGCAGTTAAGGATGAGGAAAGAGGGAATTGGAAACATAGCTTGTAAAGGAAGTCTGGTTATGAGCTTAACTTATAGTGCTTTACCCTTTTGTAAGTCTGGCCCATGCCAGGTATATTCAACAGGAAACAACATCACAATCTCTAGTCAATTTTCTGTGTAATACTTGCTTTACAACATTCACATTATGAACAACTCCAAGGATTTTAAAATACAAGTTTTAATGACGGGGACTTTTTGCTTTCTGCTTGCACCTTCAGAGTTCATACTGTCCAAGATTCCCACTGCAAACATCAGGCTATAAATTTACTCCCCCTTACTCATATGAAATTTGATAGCCAGGTGCAGTCACATGACTTAGGAACTGAGGATTAAAAGAAAAAAGCATTGGAAGAATTAAAATGCTGCTGTCCCTCCATTTTATGTTTCCCAGAGAAGGCCCTATTCCTGCTCTTTTGCTTGCAAAAGCACCCAAATCACTTCATGCAGAAGGCTCAGACCTAGTCTGTGTTTTTATTTCAAGAACTACAACACCCTGTCAGTTGTACTCCACAGTGGAAACCCGTTAGAAGTCACAAGCAGTCCTTTTCAAGATTTTTCCATTTAAGTGTTTTCACCCACACTTTCAGTGTTTGAACTGCTGCTGGGAAGTTGCCACTGAGATTGTGGCTGGGTGGGTTTTGTCTGCCCTTTTTTTTTCTTTTTTTTTTCTTCCCAGGTTTCAAACTAAACCATGACTTCTGACAGTGCGAGCTACCTGGAAGGAAAAGTCCTGTAAATTTCATGCAGTTTAACTTTGATATCAAAACATGAACAGCTCTCCACTTCCTCTCATTCCTTGTATCCAGTTCCTTCCTCCATTCATAACTCTCTCTGTAACCATGCCATTTTCTGTCCTTTGCACATCCCAGTTTTCCCTCAGATTGCACTCTGAACTTGACACTCAGTAGAACACCCATGCGTCAGTACAGCTGGTTAAACTGCAGTAAATTGGAGTTCACCATCTCCATCCTCACAGTACCCCCTCCCCATGGTGTTTTTAATCACTTGTGTTAAGAGCTAGGGGGAAATGCCTGACAAGATGAACTTCCAGTTTTCTACTTTCAAGCAACAATAAGACTACAAGTACTAACAGGGTCTGAGATGCTAAACATAACCAATTTGACCTCTTGTGTATGTGCTCTCTGATCAGTGCCCAACAGTGCTCTCATCTCATGGAACTCCGATATCCCAGGAGGATGATATCCCTAAGCAGGGAGTGGATGCCACAGAAAGAAACTGCCCATATGGGCTGACAAAATGATTGTGTCAGCTCACGCTATAAGAAGAGTAATGCTGGTGCTGTTATTTACGACCACTGAAGGGCAGAAGTCAATGTCTGGAGAAGTGCCGGAAAGCAGCTGCAGTAGGAATTTCCAGAAAATGGGATGAATCCTGCAGTCTCCAGACACATGTGTTCCAGGGATCCTTCTCTGACCTCTGCCAAACAGAAGTGCACTCTGCGAAGAAGCCGCCAGCTACTATCCCTGTGGGCCACAAGAGAAAAATAGCTAGTGTAAAAAGCTGGTTCATAAATGTCCCCAACTCACTTCGGTAGGGAAGAAAGTCCTGATGACACAGTTGGATGCGAGGACCACAGAAGGATGTCTGGACACAGAGAAGCCTGCAAAGCAAGTTTTGGTAACCCGCTGGTTGGATGCCATGCAGGTAACTAGGACAGCACCTAGATTCAATAACATACTCTGAAGGTTCC